TGTGTGTGTGTGTGTGTGTGTGTGTGTGTGTGTGTGTGTGTGTGCGCGTGCTCTAGGGGGCGACAGACCTGGAGAAGCAGCTGGAGCTGCTGTTGGTGGAGAACCAGCATCTGAAACAGGAGCTGAAGTCATGCAGGAGCTCAGAGCTTCAGAGCCTCGGCGCTGCTGCCGAGAACTGCAGCCACTGCCCCCACAGACAGGTAGATGTACAGAGAGACGGGTAGATGTACACTATTCATCCAGCTGTCTCAGGTATAAATGTCATCCCTGTGTCCTACAGGACGTGGAGTCCCTCCAGAGACAGGTGTCTCTCTGGGAGAACCAGGCCCGGCAGAGGGAGCGACAGCTGGTCGAGCTGGAGCCAGAGCTGCTGGAGAAAACCTCCAGAGTGGAGAGTCTCCGCCGGCAGCTGGAAGAGTCGAGGAGGCAGCTGGAGGAGTCGAGGAGGAGGCAGGAGGAGTCGAGGATGCAGCTGGAGGAGTCGAGGAGGAGGCAGGAGGAGGCCGAAAGGAAACTCTCCCTCAGACTACGGGAGTGTGAGGAGGAGCTCACCAGGCAGGCCAGAGTCCAGGTGAGGAGACACCGGTCAGACTGTGACATCTAATACGTGTTGGTGGTTTTGGTTCCTCAGTACGTGCCTCAGACGGTGGAGGTGGACTCAGCTGGTTCTCTGACTAACACGTGTCTGTTGTGGTTTTTGGTTCCTCAGTACGTGACTCAGACGGTGGAGGTGGACTCAGCTGACTCTCTGAGAGCTATGGCTGAGCTGCAGACGAAGAACGCCGGCCTTCAGGAGCAGCTGTGTGTTCAGAGGACACTGCTGAGAGAGCTGGAGAACCAGCTGCACGAGTCACAGAGGATCTGCGCTCAGCTCAGGACGCAGGTAACATCTGGAGGAACTGAGACCTTCTACTTACCCGTCTGCTGCTCTGTCTGCTGTTTGCTGTTATTGAGGTCCAACAAGTCCCCAATCAGAAGCCCCATGTCGATGTGTCCTTGAGCAAGACAGTTAACCCAAGTTTTTCCTAGAGGCTGTTATGAACGGATGTGAATGAGACCTAGTTTAGTCCTAATGGGGAGTAGATTGATCTGAAGTATGAAGAAGAAAAGGTGCAGTCGATCCTCTAACCTTTGTCGTCTCTCTGGCTCCTCTGTGACCAGATCCTGGTCTATGAAGGAGAGATGGAGCGAGCTCAGGGTCAGCTGGAGGTGGAGATGCAGAACCTGGAGGAGGAGAAGAACCGTGTGATTGAGGAGGCGTTCGTCAGAGCCGAGAGCGAAATGAAGGCCGTGCACGAGAACCTGGCGGGTCTGACTCTGCTTCCTGTTCTGGTGTTCTGGTTGTGGACTCTGTGGACTGGTGATCACAGTGTTTTGTGTTGTCGTGTTTCAGGTGTGCGGATGAACCTGTTGAGTCTGCAGCCGGCCCTCCGGACCCTCACCTGTGACTACAACTGTCTGAAGAGGCAGGTCCAGGAGTTCCCCTTCATGCTGGACAAAGCTATCACTGAGGCCAAGCAGGAGGTGATGTCTCTCTCTGTCCTTTGTTTGTCCTCTGTCTGTGCTCCATCTCTCCTCTCTCTGTCCTCTCTTCTCTCTCTCTGTCCTCTCTCTGTCCTCCATCAACTGGACTACATTTATAGTCTAACATTTGTCTCAGATCTGCCAGGTGATCAGCGAGGTGAGCTCCACCAATCAGGAGCTTCTGTGTAAATACAAGAGAGAGATGAACCTGAGGAAGAAATGTCACAACGAGCTGGTTCGACTCAAAGGTCTGAACCAACTTCATCATTCTGATTATTGTCTCGTCTTAAATGTGTCCTCTGTGTCCCGTGAAGAGACTGTCCTCTGTGTGTCCCGTAGAGAGGCTGTCCTCTGTGTGTCCCGT